ATCTCTCCCTTCCTCACTCCTTGGCTCCAGCTCCTTCTCTCACTCCCAGGGTCTCTCCTGACACCTGGTTTCAAGGATGCCGATTTGGGGATTATTTTATCTCTTATATCACAGTGTACGTGCAGCATCCCTGAGTCTACCTGTACACAAAATGCAACGTGAGAACCCAACACGGCCTGGGATTCAGATCCAGTAATTCTAGGGTGTTGTGGGTGGGTGTTGATAACAAGTGCCCCGGGAGGTTCTCCTGTTTAGGTGCAGGCAGCATTGTGGCAAATACGTTGCCTCTCCTGGATCAAAGATCAAGATGAGCCCTGACAGTTTGTGAGATTAAATTTGTAAGATCCCAGTTTTACCTTGTAATAGGGAGGTAGGGACGAGTTTTCTAGATGTGGTGAGCTCGAGATGGAACTCTGTGTGTGTCTCTAACCACATACTGAATCTTCCATGCAGACCCACTCAGCCTGCATTGGCTTTGCCCTGCTTGAGAGACTTCCACGACTTTAGATTCCACTTGTGCCTATGAAGACCAGGCTGGCTGCTTGATTTCTAAAGGCTGGGGGAGCTGCCTGGGATGGCCAAGGCCCTTAGCTGTTATGCTAATCTTGCCAGGGAAATCAAGCAGAAAGAACAGGGTAGAAGGTTTGTTTTCCTTCCCAGTGGAGAGAAGCTTCAGGCCTGATTTCCTTAGGTCTTGGAATGGAAAACACCAGCTGTTTTATAATGAGGCTGTGCCCTGCTTGGTGAGCAGGCTCTCAGCTCAAGGAGTTTTGCTTCTTTTAAGCTACCTGTGCCCATTGTCAGATACCTGTCAGCTCTGATCCAGAGCATTCTGAAAGCTGCAGGTTCTATTGAAACAAGGTTATGGGAAGAAAAGCCCCAGAAGGAAGTAACCAAGCATGTTTTTTGGCTCCATGTGACTTTTAAAATCCCCTTATGTGGGAGGCTGAGGCAAGAGGATCTCCTGAGCCCACAAGTTTGAGGTTGCTGTGAGTTATGATACTACAGCACTCTACCCATGGTGACCCAGTGTTGCATGGATTTCCCCTCAATCAAAACAAAACAAAACAGAACAGAAAACCCCCACAGTTCACTCAAATCGACAAAATACAATTGCAATGAAGTTTTTTAGGGGCCAAGCCCTGTATAGCTGGCCATGGCTACCTCCTGCCACCCATCTTCTACCTCTCTCCTGCTATTTTAATCATTATTACTAGTTACTACCATGATGATAACTGCGTGGGATCCCACTGGGCCATATATGCTCTGCCTCTGCTTCTAAGCTCACCAAAGTGCCCAGGGAGGTCTCCGCCAGCAGTTTCAGCCCAGTTTTCTTTGTGCCCTCACCAGTCCATGTGTGAGCTCTGGGCCTGCAGCACTGGTGTCCCCTGGGAGCTGGAAGAAAGGCAGACTCTGGAGGCCCAGCTCACACCCACCGAGTCAGAACCTGTGTTTGAACCAGATCTCAGATGTGCACATTAGACTTTGAGAAACACTGGTTTATACGGGTGGCCCCGATCAGGCTTAGATCAGAATCACTTGGTGAGCTTCACTTATTTCTTTTTTTTTTTTTTTTTTTTTGAGA